TTCCCTCCAGGAGCGGCGGGGAGGGGCCAGGCCCGCGGCCGGGGAGGGCTGGGGCTCGGGGATGGGGACCGAGATGGCCGGACACGCACACACTGACACACAGACTGGGACCCACAGACGCACCCGGAGGAGCCTGCTCGGACCCCAGCGGCTGGCTGGCACTCCTGGGAACACAAAGTCACATGCTGACAGGGCCATGGGGACATACAGACTCAGACACACGGCCACAGTCGCACGAATGCACACTGCTGGACACGCAAACTCACTCACTCACCCAGGGACACCCACAGGCACAAAATATCTAGACTAGCCCGCTGCCCAGGTCTCCAGGGCACAGAGAGGCCACAATGACAGGGATGCGCATCAGAGCGCCAATGCCCACAGTTGTGTGCACAAACCCACAAACTGTGTTCATGAGTCAGCGCCCACAACACACACACAGACAAAGCTGGGCGCTTGTCAGGAAGCAGATACTCCCTGCTAGGTGCTGCTGGACACACAGACACACAGACAGACACCTGTCCCAGGGACACCTGGTCACACTGCAAACACACACAAACACACCCACAGAGTCTTGCAGCTGAGACACTGATACCAACCCTAACAGACAGCTCTGACAGACACTGACCTCCTCACACAAAGTCACACCTGTGCACAGGTTCCTGCTAACTGACCTACTGCGGCACCCACTGCACACACAGCATGCACTCCTGGCCAGACTCCCCACGAATCTGGCAGGGCCCCTCAGTGAGGAGGAAGCCGGCTGGTGTGGCAAAGACATGCCCGGGCAGACCCTGCACCGAGTCTCTGCAGTCCCTCTGCCTTCTGTTCTCTTTTCCTTTTCGATTTCCCTTCATCACACGCTCATCTGATGTGACACAGTGACCCCATGTCCTTCCCCGTCGCAGGGGCCCTGGGTCTCTGTCTCTCCTGCACCTGCTGTTCCTTGGTGCCTCACCCTCAAACAAACCACGTCACCCACGGTGAGTCACCCCGGTGTGTCCAGCACAGGGCTGACAGAGTAAGCGTGCCAGGCCCACGTGAAGCTGGGCTTGATCCTTCGATTTTCCCGAGAGAGAAGCAGGAATTTCTGATCCTACGTGAAATCTGATTTTCAAACACTGTCTAAATTCAGCTGAGTTTGGTTAACTACTTGAGTATTAACAGAAGGGTTGGATTTTGAATCCACACAGAGGCTGGCCTGGCGATGTGCTCTGGAAAGGTCACAGCCTTGACATGGACCAGTTCCACTCCCACACGCAGGGTTCGTTATGAGTCAGACCGCAAGACTGCGACCAACCACACTCCTCTACTTCTTTCACTTTTTTTTCTCTTCTTTCCTCCCCCCTCCCTCCCTTTTCTGTTTCCCTTCCCCAAACTCTGCGTCAGAACAATCCACTGATGATGAAATTACCTTCCTGGCTCTGACTGGTTCTTTAATTCAAGTTTATTGAGCTTATATTTCACACGATAAAATTTACCTTGTAGGTGTACAGTTTGGTGCATTTTGACAAGCATACACAAGTACCCCACCCCAGTGGAGATACATGAATTTCTATTATCCCCCAACACTCCTTGTGCTCCTTGTATCACGAACCCTTTCTCCCACCTTCAATTTTATAGTGGCTCTTGAATGCTTTTTTTAAAAAAATATAAAATAGGATACAGTTTTTAAACAATCATGAAATGTAAGGATGGCCTTGTGAAAATATGAAATATTACATATTGTGGGTACACAGTAGGTCACAAAGAAAGTATATTTCTGACTGTCGATCAAGTTCAAAGATGTTTGAGAAATGCTGCCGGAGATGGTTATTAAATGAGCTTCTGCGTGGAGGACATTTAGTGCAGTATCTGGTAAACAGTAAGTGCATAATAAATGTGAAAGGGGCTCTGGTGGTGCAGTGCCTAAGGCATTTGAGTGTTAACCAGAAGGTGGGCAGTTCAAACCCACCAGCTGCTCTGCAGAAGGAAGATTGTTGTTGTTGTTGTTGTTATGTGCCGTCGAGTCAAACCTGACTCATAGCGACCCCTCCTTGGGTTTCCGAGGCAGTATCACTACGGATGGTGGGATTGCCCAACCTTCCTTCCGAGGAGTGGCTGGTGGGTTTGAACCGCCAGCCGTCTGGTTAGCAGGCAAGTGTCTTAGCCACTATGCTACCAGAGCTCCCTGGCAGAAGGAAGATAGAGCAATCTATTTCCGTAAAGAGGGACCGCCTTAAGCTGTTGCATTGTGGGAGATTAGTCAATGTCATAAGACAAAGTGTATATGAACTGCTGTATGGAAGATGAATTTTCTCTGTAAACTTTCACCCAAATCACAGTAATATTACAAAAAAAATTTACTGCCTTAGAAACCCACTAGGGGTCGCTATGAGTAAGAATTGAATCAGTGACAATGGGTTTGGTTTTGGAATAAATGTTAGCTATCATTACTAGCTTTCTCGACTTTGCTTAGGGTTTGCTCTGTGCCTTGATGGTGATGCATATGGGGGTCCAGGGCCCAGCCCTGGGCCAGCTCGGGGTCCAGCCTGCATCCCTCATTCAACCTTCAGTGCAAAGCTGGACACCAGGAGGCCAGAAATGCTGGAAAGTTCTGAGAGGAAAATGAGCCTGAAGGCCACTGGGAATGGAGTCTGGTCACTGGGGGTAAGAAGGAGAGGGCCGAGAATCCCAGGCCCAAAACCCTGCCGCCGGTAGAGATCCTCTTCCCCACCATCTAGTCCAAACCCTGTTCCAAATTCTGGCTTCCTAACCCCCAGACCAGGGGTCTCAGGGTCAAGAACTCACTGCTATCAAGTCAACTCCAATTCATAGCAACCCCCACTGGGTTTCCAAGGCCGTAAATCTTTATGGAAGCAAACCACCTCATATTTTTTTTTCTGAAGAACAGCCAGTGGGCTAGCAGCCAAATGCCTTAATCACTATACCACTAGAACTCCTTGCTCAAACTCAAGAGCCATTATTAAATAAATGAGATTAATGAGGCCAGAGTGAGACAACAGGGAATGGTGGGGCCTGTGGCTAATTGGAGTGTGAGTATCCCTTCTCAAAAATACTCATTGCCGTGGAGTCAGATGTGACTCATAGCGACCCCTCCCTGGGTTTCCGAGGCAGTATCATTACAGAAGTAGATTGCCCAGTCTTCCTTCCGAGGAGTGGCTGGTGGGTTTGAACCACCAGCCTTCTGGTTAGCAGTCAAATGCCTTAGGCACTACGCTACCAGAGCTCCTCATGTCCCTTCTAGAGACACAAATTCACAGTTAAAAACCGTGTGGGAAAAGAAAAGAAAAGTTGTGGCTGGCCCAAGGGCTGTGTTTTTGAGACTCCCCTGGTGCTGTAGTGCCCAAGGCATTTGACTGCTCATCAGAAGGTTGGCAGTTCAAAACCACCAGCCACTCCTCAGAACGAAGATTAGGCAATCAACTTCCGAAGATTGGGCAATCAACTTCCATAGTGATACCGCCTTGGAAACCCAAGAAGGGGTCGCTATGAGTGGGATCTGACTCGATGGCAGTGAGTTTGGTTTTGGTTTTCTACCCTAACAGAGGGGCACAAGGATGGAGGGAGGGAGGGAGAAGACCCCACATCCATCTTCCAGACTACACCCCTAACCCACTCCCACCTCAGCAGATCTCCTAGGTACCAAGTTCCTCTAAGCTCCTGGTGGAACTCTAGACCTGGCCCAACACTGCCTCTGGTCCCTGCTTCTCTGGAGAGGAGAACAGGGACTTGGAAGCTTGGAGGGTTCTTGGATATCTCCGAGGGCAGGTAAGAAACAGAGACAATGAGCTAAACAGAGATATGGAGAGATGGGAAAACCAGGGCAGGCCAGCAAGGGAGTCAGAGACTGAAAGAGAGGGTTGTTGTTGTTGTTGTTATGTGCCGTCGAGTCGGCCCTGACTCATAGCGACCCCTCCTTGGGTTTCCGAGGCAGTATCACTACGGAAGTAGGATTGCCCAACCTTCCTTCCGAGGAGTGGCTGGTGGGTTTGAACCACCAGCTGGTTAGCAGGCAAGTGTCTTAGCCACTATGCTACCAGAGCTCCCGAAAGAGAGGGTAAGTGGGTTAAAAAAAAATAATAATAATAATAAAGTGTGGTCTGGGGTTGGGGTGGCTGAGGGGGAGAATCAGGCTTGAGTTTAGACGAGAGGTTCTCATCTTGAACTCTGCGGCATTTTGGGGCTTAGAAAATCTTTCTTGGAGGTGGTGCTGGGGGCAGGGGTCCCAGGCATTGTAGGATATACTGAGCATCATCGTGGCCTCTCCCCACTAAACGCTAGTAGCACCCCCACACCCTTTGTGACAACCAAAAAAATATCTCCAGACATCACCAAATATTCTCTTGAAGGCAAAATTGCCCACAGTTGAGAGCCACTGGCTAAGAGCAATGGGTTAGGTATCCTGTAGCTGTCCCTCTCAAATCTGCATAGCCACCCCACAAAGGTACATGGCCTCTGGCTCTAAACGGCCTGAGTTAGAGTCCCCAGCTCTGCCACCTACTGGCTGCGTGACCTTGGGCAAGTGGCTATACCTCTCTGTTTCTTCATCTGTGAGTTGGGAACAGCAATGGTCCCTACCTCGTAGGACTGTGCAGAGTGAGGAGGTGAATGAATACATGCAACCCACCCTCATTATTATTATCCACTGAGCATCCCAACATGGACCTCAAGCTAAGCCCCTTAGGTTCGGACAGTGGTCTCGAACTGGCGGCCCCCGGGCCAGCGGGTAGTCTGTTTTGTTCGACCTGAGCAGTTTCTTTG